ATAGCATCAGAACTCTAAGCACGTGAGAGAGAGTGGGCACCTCCCAGAACATTGTTTTGTGCCACTCCCAACAGAAATATTCCAGGTGGACAACTTCAGCAATCAGGAACTCCTCAGTTGCTCATAGAAAATCCCACCTTGGAGTTTACAAAGATTTATGGGTAGAAAAGCCACACTAAGTAATTTACTACACTGCACCAGGCAAAGCATGAAGTCATGGTTTTGCTTTGAAAAGTCTCTCCTGTATATGCTGAGCTTTGCCTCCTAACCTTCCAGAAGGTGGATGTATCCTAAAATCTTAAGTTGTACCTCTTCTCTAAGATAACCTCTGGGTGTATCCTAACTGGCACTTCTTTGCCAAGCTGACCTTCTTACTAAAGAAGTAGGAAGTAAACCAATTCATGGAGTTCCAATTGCTGTTTTCTGTACTCTTGGTCACACAGGCCAGATAAAATTTTACTTTGGACATGGCATCTCAGGTAAAAGTGTGACAGTATAGCATAATATTGCCTGGGATCTAAGTCACCTAACTTATCAAATAATTTAGGCAAGTCACCTAACTTCTGTGAACCTCAGTTTCTTCATTAATAATAATATACCTCTTTTTCAGGATTGTATACAAAGTACTTATCAGTTCCTGCCACATAATGGCTATACAATAGATTACTGTCTTTAAGATAAAAGTGTTAAAATAGAGCTAGGACTTTATCAACAAGTTTTGATTATCAGAACTATACAACAAACAGCAAAGTTCTTTAAAAAAATTTTTGCACTGCTATTTTTGTTGGTAAAAGTAGTACATGAATATCTTTGGCCTTCCAAAGATATGTAAGAAACTAGTTATGGTGGCTGCCTCTGGGAAGGGGAACTGAGGTGGAAGGGAGATTTGGTTTTCTCTATATGCCCCTTTGTACTACTTATTAAAAATTAAGAATAAAAGGACTACATGCACATGGTTCAAAATTAAAACAGGGTAGAAGCATATAAAAAGAAATATAGGTTCCAGTTCCTAGAAGAAACCACTCTTGGACTTCTAGTAAGATGGAGGATTAGGCAGACAAGCTACACAGACCCTCTTCAACAAAGAAAAGAGAAATCAATTGACAGAGATACAGAAGATAATGCTGGAGCCCCAAGCTATGAAAGGAAGTATAAAGAAGTGGATAAGGTACCAACTAGTGGAAAGAACTGAACAAAATCAGTGAGTACAGAGACTGTCAGAGCAGTAGACTGTCAGCTACTCTGACAGGACCAACAACCTGCATATTTCCAAGTGGTGTTGAGACCTGAGAATTGACCTAAAGTTCAGTCCTTATCACCAAGGACTGCAGGGACAATTTTGCTGGAGGCCTATGACTAGGAAGGGAAACAGCAAGGAGGGAGACAACCTGAGCTGTGGACTTTCAGCTGTCCAGAGGGTGCAGCCATTTTGATAACAAGTGATGGGCATTTTGGATATTTAAAGTGACTGTGGGTGCAGCCATTTTGAATCTTTATAAGCAGTAGCCATTTGGGATGTTTAAAGTGACTGAGGGTGAAGTCATTTTGAATATTTACAAGTGGCAGCCTTTTAGGATATTTAGAGTGACCGAGGATTCAGCCATTTTGAATGTTTACAAGCAGTGGCTATTTTGGATATTTAAAGTGACTGAGGGTGCAGCCATATTTAATCTTTTAAAGTGACAGAATTCCCATTCAGATTCCAGGGACCTAAGAATAGGCTCTCTTTGCCAAGGATGGCAGGGACATTCAGAAGGCTGACAACAGGAAATGAGACAGGTGGTGAGTGTATAAGTGCTGCCAACTAGTGAATAGAGGAGCACAGCACAGTACCCTGCTTACATAGATAACATACAAACAAAATGAAAATTGTGGGCAAGTCACTCCAACATACAATCACCAATTAAATATAAACACAAAAATGTCACAATGCCTCAGAAACAACAGAGCACCACAGTGCACACAACAAAGCAACATAAAGCAGGAGAAACTAAGAGAACAGGATACAGATCCAAAACACATCCCTGAGTAAGTTGCAGCATTGGAACTCCCTGATAAGGAATTCAAAAGAATTATATTTAGATATCTTCAATGAATTGAGAGACAGATCAAGGAAAACACTGACAAAATTGAGGAAAACACAGAGAAAACCTGAGAACAATTTTGAAAGACAATGCAAGAATAAAATGACAAAATAAATGAAAAATTAGAAATGGTACAAAATCTATACACAGAAATCCAGAAGATTAATACTAAATTTTTGGAAATAGATAACATTGAATGGGCAAAGGAATAGAATTGAATGAATGGAAAATAGAATTAGTGAGATTGAAGGAAAACCCTTCAATACTTCTTTGGAAAGGTATCAATCAGAAAAAAGATTAAAACAAAATGAAGAAAGCCTAAGGTTCATGTGGGATACCATCAAAAGGAATAACCTACGTGTAATTGGAATTTTAGAACTGGAAGAGAGGAATAAAACCACAGAAAAATTATCCAAGATTTCTTGGAGGAGAATTTTCCTGGTATGATGAAAGATGAGCATATATCCATTCAAGAAGTCCAACAAACCCCAAACAGAATAGACCCCAAAAGAAAATCACCAAGACACATCATCATCCAACTCACCAAAACCAAAGACAAAGAAAGAATCCTGAAAGGAAAAACAAAACGTTATCTATAAGGGGCAACCAATAAGACTAAGCTCAGATTTCTTGGCAGAAAACATGCAGGTAAGAAGACAATGGGATGGTATATATAAAATCCTGAAAGAGAAAAATTTCCAACCAAGAATTATTTGTTGTTGGTGTTGTTATGTGTTGTCGAGTTGGTCCTGACTCATAGCGACCCCTACTTGGGTTTCTGAGGCAGTATCACTATGGAAGTAGATTGCCCCATCTTCCTTCCGAGGAGTGGCTGGTAGGTTTGAACCATCAGCCTTCTGGTTAGCAGTCAAGTACCTTAGGCACTACGCTACCAGAGCTCATCCAGCAAAATTGTCCCTCAGATATGATGGTGAAATTAGGACATTTCCAGATAAGCAGAAATTAAGGGAATTTGTTAAAACCAGACCAACCTTACAAGAGATGCTAAAAGGAGTCCTTTGGACAGAGAACCAACAACAGCAAACAATAACTGGCCATTAACACACAGGATGACATAACCCAGAAACCAACCCAGTTATAGAAGTATCCAAAGTAAATAAGCCTACAAGATTGTAAACAGGGGACTAAAGACATTAATTGACAAATGAGGACAATTACAAATCAAAACGGGAAAAAAATTATGTAGTTACAGAACTTGTAAATGGTAGAGAAGTCAAGAAAACTACAACATAGAATGACCTGTTCTAAACTTGGGAAGAAAACTATAAATCACAGGGCAACCTCAAAGAAAAATGATAAACCTGAACATCAAAATAAAAAAGAGGACCAGCACAAATATTTAGCAAGTATTAAAACAATAGCGATGAAGGAAGTGATAACACAATTCCTAAACAAAATGAGCTCAGCACAGAAAATAATATGGAACAAAGAAATCAACACCAAAAAAAGTGCATAACAAAATGACAGCAACAAATTCAAACTTGTTGATAATTACATATCTGGCAAAGGACTTATCTCTTGGATTTATAGAAAACTCACTCCAATTGAAAAACGGGCATAAGACATGAATAGATACTTCACCAAGGAGGATATTCAGGCGGCCAGCAAATCCATGAAGAGATGCTCACAATCATTGGCCATCAGAGAGCTGCAAATCAAAACAACGAGATACCATCTCACCCCAGCAATGATGGCAAAGTTCAGCGAGACAGAAAATAAATGCTGGTGGGGATGTGGAGAGATTGAGCCTCTCATACACTGCTGGTGGGACTATGAAGTGATATAACCGCTGTGGAAAGCAGTATGGTGATTCCTTAGAAAGCTGGAATTGGAGATACCATTTGACCCAGCAATCCTATTACTAGGTATATATCCTAGAGAGGTTAGAGCCAAGACAGGAACAGATATGTGCACACTCATGTTCATCGCAGCTCTGTTTACAATAGCAAAAAGATGGAAACAAGCTGTATGCCCATCAACAAAGGAGTGGATGACCAAGCTGTGGTGCATACACACAATGGAGCGCTGTGCAGCACTGAGGAGTGATGTGGAGTCTGCAAAGCACCGCATGGCGTGGATGGACATGGAGGACATTGTGCTGAGTGAAGTAACTCAGTCACAGAAGGACAAATACAGGATTAGTTCATTGTTGTGAAGGATCAAGGAAAGGTTTATTTATGG